GAACAGTCCGTTCTGCACACCCATCGCTCAGCTGGAATCCGTCGCACGCCGTGCTGAGCGGTACCGTGCCGTAACAGGTAGTAAGAAACTGGGCAGCACCATGCGCAAGGAGGTAACAAGAGACTGGGCACTACCGTGTCGTAAGAGGACAGGTGGTAAGAGGCAGGGCAACACCGCGCCGTAGGAGATAGTAAGAGGCTGGGCAGCACCGTGCTTCAAGAGATAACACGAGGCTGGGCAGTACCGTGCCTCAAGGGATAACACGAGGCTGGGCAGCACCGTGCCTCAAGAGATAACACGAGGCTGGGCAGTACCGTGTCTCATGAGATAACACGAGGCTGGGCAGTACCGTGTCTCAAGAGATAACACGAGGCTGGGCAGTACCGTGCCTCAAGAGATAACACGAGGCTGGGCAGTACCGTGCCTCAAGAAATAACACGAGGCTGAGCAGTACCGTGTCGTAAGAGGACAGGTGGTAAGAGGCAGGGCAACACCGCGCCGTAGGAGATAGCAAGAGGCTGGGCAGCACCGTGCCTCAAGAGATAACACGAGGCTGGGCAGCACCGTGCCTCAAGAGATAACACGAGGCTGGGCAGTACCGTGTCTCAAGAGATAACACGAGGCTGGGCAGTACCGTGTCTCAAGAGATAACACGAGGCTGGGCAGTACCGTGCCTCAAGAGATAACACGAGGCTGGGCAGTACCGTGCCTCAAGAAATAACACGAGGCTGAGCAGTACCGTGTCGTAAGAGGACAGGTGGTAAGAGGCAGGGCAACACCGTTCCGTAGGAGATAGTAAGAGGCTGGGCAGCACCGTGCCTCAAGAGATAGCACGAGGCTGGGCAGCACCGTGCCTCAAGAGATAACACGAGGCTGAGCAGTACCGTGTCTCAAGAGATAACACGAGGCTGGGCAGTACCGTGCCTCAAGAGATAACACGAGGCTGAGCAGTACCGTGTCTCAAGAGATAACACGAGGCTGGGCAGTACCGTACCTCAAGAGATAACACGAGGCTGAGCAGTACCGTGCCTCAAGAGATAACACGAGGCTGAGCAGTACCGTGCCTCAAGAGATAACACGAGGCTGAGCAGTACCGTGCCTCAAGAGATAACACGAGGCTGAGCAGTACCGTGCCTCAAGAGATAACACGAGGCTGAGCAGTACCGTGCCTCAAGAGATAACACGAGGCTGAGCAGTACCGTGCCTCAAGAGATAACACGAGGCTGAGCAGTACCGTGCCTCAAGAGATAACACGAGGCTGAGCAGTACCGTGCGACGGCGGCCACGTACGTCAGCCGCGGGCGTCGCAGAATGGTTCGCTGAGGCCGGCGCTCTGCACCTGTGGTGGGATTGAACACCCGGCGCCCAGCTTATGGCCGATTCTCGCTGCCGTTCGCCGCATTGGCAAGGTGAGACATGAGCCACACGCCTATTACAGTCTCTGCTGCCCGACTGTGCTGATATGGTGGTTATTTTGTGTGCAAATTATGATCTTGTTATCGGAGTAGTAAATTTAAATCGCAGTGACTCCCGACGTGGTTCAGCGCGGGCCTATCCCAGCTCGCACAGGAAAAATGTAGGGCAGGCATGTCTGGAGGCAGCGGGACCTTGCTCTTATAATGACGGGTGCATTACGCAAGGAAACTCTATGCACAGCTCAAGTTTGCACAGCTTCGAGGGTCTACTCATTATGCGTGATTGGATTGCTTTGATAATAAGTGATAAGAAGCCTGAAAATTGCACGCAGCAAAGAGTAGGTGATTTGCACCGTATGACTAAGCTGAAAATATGACCAGTTATCGACGTCATCTGGTGAATACAAAGTAAGATCCCGGTAGGAGCAGAATGCCGGTTGGAACAGTACTGGTAAAGCAAACTAACATGGTCCTTACCTGAAACAGTACGGCATTTGGAACTGATCCATTCCGCCTGTATAAGGAAACAAAACCATGGGACAAACCTTTGTGATAACACTATCTATGCAAGATTCCACCTGTAAAGATTTCTGTTGGCGTCTTGTGGCTTCTAGCTGTCCTGCAAATTGGCCGAAGAAAAAATAAATTTGGAAGCAGTGTAGGATTGTGCAGCAGATGCATTAGTGGTTAAGGTGGAATTTAGGAAGGATCTCAGTTCAGACTACCTTTGAGGTTTTCACATTATATGTCCCGTGGATCCCGGCGGCCTTACCGCAGGTTGGCATCAATCCATCAAGCTGTCCCTGCTGCTGCAATGCACAACCGTGGTACTCTCGTGGATCCCTCGCGGCTGCTTCATGGCGAAATAGGAGCAGCTCAAAGGTTTGAGTTTAGCAAGGTTTGACCTTCCTGCAGGAACTGCTGCCGAACTTTACCGAAGCCCTCAGGTTCTGTACCGATGAACTGGGGCCGCCTGAGCGCAGTCGCCCATGTAACTGGCTCACACTCCTTTGGCTCAGAGTTCAAGGGTGGTATGCAGCTGGCTGAAGCGACCCCACAATCCAGCCGTCACGGGGACCTGTCTGCCGTTACCGCCGAGCTGCCTGCGCTGAGCCGACGGCGGCGTCTGCCCACATGTTGCCTGCAGTCTGCCCACACATTGACGGCGGCAAGGTCGCCCCGCCCTGCGCCCGGTGCGTGTGTCCCCACGCGCTGCCAGCGGACCGGGGTCTCGGCTCGAAGTGGGGATGGGGCTGACGGTGGACCGGGGTCCCGGTTCGGAGCCCGGAGGGGGACTGGAGACGGACTGGGGTCCCGGCTCAAGGCGGAGATGGGGCTGACATTGGATCGGGTCCCGGCTCAGAGCGGGAGGGACTGCCAGCGGACAGGGTTCCAGGCTCGGAGATGAGAGGGGACTGGCAACGGACCAGGGTCCTGGCTTGCAGCGTTGGGGGGGGGGGGGCTGACTGAGGACTGGCGGTGAGGGCTGCGGGAGCAGGAACGAAGGCGTCATTACTGATGCCCTTCAGCGCTATTGGTAGGAATCGGTACTTCCAGGACCTATGAAAAAACATATCGGCACGCGCCAATGCCGAATTGTTTGCGCCATGAAATTTTCTTTAAGTAAAACTGCAAGCTCTGCTTTCCTGCTATCGTGGCTTGAGACGCGGATGCAGAAATACGTATATATATATATATATATATATATATATATATATAATGATTCAGTGATAACTGAATATCCTTTGACATTCAGTTATCCGTTGCCGGTTATCTGGTTATCTGTGGTGGGATTGAACACCACATGTTGCCTGCAGCCTGCCCACACATTGACGGCGGCGAGGTCGCCCCGCCCTGCGCCCGGTGCGTGTGAGTTTGACTAACATGGTCCTGGGATTGATGCCAACTCTGCGTGTGAGTCGGGAGCCAAAACCAGCAAGTTTTGAGTAACACCAGACAAAATGCATATATATATATATATATATATATATATATATATATATATATATATCACATCAGTAAAATGCTAGAATTGTTTAAATTTATGCGTCATTAAAGGGAAAGTTCTGCATTTGAACGGGTTTTGAACCCCGCTAGCCATTTTGAAGATGACTCATTGCAGTTCACAGCTCTGCTCTTTTAGAGAATTAACACCCTCTGGGTTTTGAGGCTGCTACCCGCGAACTTGTGTTGATTATTTCGTGCTGACTATTTCATGGTCACCGAGGTATGCATAACGCTAAAGAAATGTGACCCAAGTACTGCATTGGCTATGTAGTGCCCAAGGCCGAAAAGAATGTTACCATCGAGTTTTTTTGTGTCTGGCGCACGTCAGCATGATTTCTGGTATCAAAAGACTTCATTTGACGCTCAATTAATTTCATACGTTCAGGGCAAGTTTTGAACACAATTTGCTATTTGTGCTACAGTAATTTGGCAGTGGTACGAGTTACGACGGAGATAAGGCCGAGAATCGAATAACTTAGAGAAGCACCGTAAACGAGTATGTAAATGCAAGAAAACAACAAAAATCAAAAGCAGTTATGCAAGAACATTACCAGAAAGAGCCAAAACACTTGCGCGTAACTGCATTCAGTTTCGCAAACACGCTCCAGCAAAGCGCCGCTTCCTTTCGGCATGCTGAAATACTACAAATGGGTCAGCTCGTCCGCTACGGCATGGCAATTCTGACACGGCCAGTGTGGTGGCGACTCTGACGCTGTAAAGACGTTCCATGACGTAATTAGACGATAACGTATTGAGCGGCATATTTGCGAAGTAGTGAAATGTTCTCTCGAGCAGTGTTGGAAACTTCAATGCAGACCAATAGTTACGTGAGTTTATTTCATCATATCTGATGCTTGCCTTAATATTTTCAAATGTGGAACATTCGTCTTAAGCGCTAGGGTGAGCCAAACTATCCTTTATAATCCATTGGTTTACGCCCCGCCAAAAAGTGGCGCCGCTGTTGTATAATCATTATGAAAAACTGAATGCTGCTGCATATGGCAGTGATGCACAAACGTTACACCGAAGCGAGGTGGTAAAATGCACGTGTACACTGCTCTACACTTACTCCGTATGCCGTCTCCAAACTAAAATCAGGCGCAACGTGCTACATATGTAAATTTGTGACTAAATTGCGGCCAAAATCTGCTTGTATGTGGTTAATTTCAACCATGCCTTTCAACTGTGCTTCCTTTATGGGTCGCCCTCTGCTGCGTTCCGCCCACCCACGGACGCACGAACCATTGAGACAGACAATGACAACTCGGCCAAGGGTTTGACCTCCTGTCGCAATCCCCACGCCCCGTGTGAGCAAATATGCATGTGTGCAAACAGGTGTGCAAATATCGATATCTCGTGTTGATGCTGCCGACCATTGCGCGCAGAGGAACGTCACGGACAATAGACGGACAGCCCGCGCGTGGCGAGCTCTAGGCTGCCTTGCCGGCGGCGCCCAGTAGTTTCTGAGCTGGCCGCCAGAGGTGGGCTAGCCGGCCACCGCTCCCCGTACGTGATGGGGCGCCACGGCCTGGGGATCAGTATGGCGGGAGTCAAGCGGCGTCTTTGATCGGAGGCTGGTGTAAACTGCGGGTCGGCTTTGATCGGAGGCTGGTGTAAACTGCGGGTCGGCTTAGCGCAAGTGCAGCGGCTGAATGGACCTTGCGTGACGCGCGCTGTCGTGGGATGGCGGCTCTGACGGAGAACGTCCATGGGCTGAGGCGCGTACGATAGTCGTCCCACACGACTGAACCGGTGAACGACGGACACCTGCTGCCACCGAGGACAGACCACAGGCCTCCGGCCGGTTCAGAGGAGTGACCACATGCCTCCGGCCGGTTCAGAGGACTGACCACAGGCCTGTAGACAGCTCAGAGAACTGACCACAGGTGCACCGGAGTTCTCGGTGGTGTGGGTCACTCGGCCGGGGGTGACCAGGTCTGGCCTCAGGACGCCCGTGTCGGGACCGACAGCTGACGTCAGGTAAGCCCCACTGGAGTGCCGTGACCAGCGACAGGTTAGGCCGGGAGCAGATTTGCTTTTGACTCTAGGTGCTGGCTCCTGGACTCCACTAAGCCTCCGTTGTCACTTCAATGCAAGCTTTTTAGGGCAACACATGACACCAATAGCGCAGCCAGGGCTTTCTGGCTGCACAGGACGGTGAGGGGGGGGGGGGGAGGGGCGAGCGGCGGGCGGAGCTCAGGAGAAATCATGACGCCTTTTTCAACGTTTTGCTAGAGACTGTTGTGAAAAGGGAGGATTGCGACCCTAAGTGCGGCCCCAAGTGACCCCGACCAAGCCGCGCCTGTGTAACAAATGCTACGGAAAAGATGCAAACCTAATCTTCCGTAGTGACAACCCCGTGCTTTTTCAACCAAAGGTGTAGGAACAGGCAGGGTGGCAGAGGGGCAGCTGCTCCCCCAAACGCTTAGGCTGAGAGAGCACGCCTTCGGACCAAAGAAGAGTAGGCATGTTTTACTATGTTACGAAGACCGCTGATGCTGTTATGCATTACCTGCACCGATGGGTGTGCCTTGCCATTTGCGCGAACGATGTTCTAAGCGAGAAATGGAAGCAGTCCACACAGTGAATCTCAAAATGAAAAAGGTTCTTTGCGGAGCATATCACAGTTCTTGCATAGTTTTGACTAAGTTTGGCGGACAAGATTTTGAACGAAAGGCCGATTGCTACCAGATTATTTGTATGATGTGGAGCATATCTCAGTGTTTTTTCCAAACGTTTGCGGTTATGTTAACTCATGACAATCGGTTTGTTCCTATGAATCAGATGCTGTGACAGGTGATGGCAGGGTTCTGGTTCGGTGTAAGGCATATGCACAAGGTTGTTTTCCAGCTAGACCGGCCGACCCCTGCGACCGCACGACAGGGCAGCACAGCGAGGGATGGGAGCTATGGAAGGATACATGGGTCCCAACTGCGGGCCACAAAGCTAATACATCTATGAACAAGCGCTCGGTGGGAGGCTCACATTGCCCCCCCCCCCCCCCGCCCCGAAGGTTCTTTTCGGAATTATTAGTGAAAGAAGAAGCCTGGCCTCGCCAACCTTTGCGCAGCCGTAGGCCATTAAATGTAGGATTTTTTGCATGCAAATTAAATGTATCTTGTAAGGAAGCTAACCTATGGCAGGTCAAAGTCAGGCCGTGCCATCAACAAAGGCATTGTCTAGGAAGTCCATAGGCAGATCCCGAGGGGGGGGCACGGGGCCATGGGCCCCCCCCCCCAAAAAAAAACTCTGAGAGTATGTTTTGGCCCCCAAACATTCCCAGAACTTCATAAAAGTTTTGTCCACTTACCGTCTGTTTTGACTTTGATAGTGCGGTATCAAACATTTTTTTCCGTTTCGGAAAAAAACTTCATGAAGAAAAGTTGGCAGCGATTTGAATATAAAAGCGCATGTTGACGCGGCTTAGTCATACTCGGCGCAAACATCGTGTTTGGTAAGTGCACTGGACCTCGGATCCCACACCAGCCAGCTGGCGACGAACGGCTGCCCCCCCCCTCCCCCTCCCCAATCTCCAGGCTAGATCTGCCCCTGAGGGAGTCGTTTAATCTGATGCGACGGCGGAGGGCTAGACGAAACCAGCATCTCTGTGATAGTTTGTTAAACAAAGCAATAGCCGAATTTAGGGTTACAAGTTCCACTCATCTTGGGTCAGGTATGAAGGTATGACTGAGGCTAAAACCAACCTGCGTTTACTGGAGAACTTGCTCTACAGGATTGTTATGATACCCATTTTGAGCTTCTTGATAACATGGACCGCAAATAATCTCCTATGGACTTCTTAACTCGCGCCCGGGTGCCGGTTGAACACCATTCGCTCGGGTGGGGGTCAATTTGAACCCTCTAAGATTTCAGAAACTAGGAAAGCTAGAAACACCAAGTTCACCGGGTGTATTGGCCTGTGCGTAAACTCACTTGTGTCAAAATTTGAGGTTCCTAGATTATGATCTTTGCGTCAAATGGGGTCAAACAAGGTCAAACTCCGGATTGGTGCCCGAAGTGCCTCCAGACCTTCTCGTGCAACCATCATGAACCTAGATAACTGTTCTAGGCAAAAGATCCTGGTGCTCATTTTACGTCAGCGATCTTATTTGAACTTCAGAAGATCGTGGTGACCAATATCATAAGGACTGTTGAGAATTTTGCATTTGAATAAGTGTCAAGGATTACGCTAGGCGGTATGATACTAGAAAAGAAATATCGACCTGGGTTATTTTAGATCACTGACCTATTCTGACCTTTAAGAAGTCCATGGAATATGTGTCATGCAGTTTCTATTATCAATAAATTCAAAATGAGCACCAAAAGCTTCTCCAAACAGCAAACTCTAAAGTAAACACAGGTTCAATTTGACCTTGGTTTGACCCACAAACCTGATCCTAGGCCAAAATAACTTGTTCATTGAAGTGTCGTGTTGACCAAGAAACTATCTCAAAGATGCATGGCTTTGTCTAACACTCCGTTGTTGCATCCGGTTGTACGACTCTCTAGAAACTGTCCTCACTAAATTAATGGCCTGATTTCGATCTGCTGTAGGTCAGGAACCTTACAGGTTCACCTCAGCTATTCATATCAAAACATTTGCTGTTCAATCGTTTACAACTATGAAAAATTCGGCGCTGCTGCGCCGCGCTGTTTGGAAATCATTCCGGAAAACCTTCGGGGGTTAAATTCATCCCCACCCCCACCCGAACGCGTGCTTCAGGTCAGAACAGGTCACTGACCTGAAATGACATATGTCAACATTTTGTTTTAGGAACATGCCGTCTAGCGTAATTCTTAACGCTTATGCAAATTCAAAAATTAAAACAATCTCGTGGCTTCTTGGTCACCATGACATTTTAAAGGTCAAACAAGGCCGCCGACCTAAAGAGAATATCAGTGACCTTTTGCCTAAAACAGGTATATACAGGTTCGAGGCGGTTGGATGAGGAGATTTGGAGGCACTTGGTTCATCACCGGACGCGTGTTAGCATGCTCCCTTGTTCTAGAAATGATTAGGTTGGAAAGTAGTTTTGTTGGGTTCCACCGTTTCACGACAGCTACAACACTAGTTTGACAGGACGGTAATAGGCCCTTCGTGTAGCAAATATGCACATAGTTTTAGGGAAGGAATGAGGCAAGTTACCAGTATCACGGATGGAGCATTGGTTCGGACTATCGTGCATGTCTGCTGTGTAATGTGGCAGGTACTCACGTTAAATTAATAATGGTTCGGACTATCGTGCGTATCTGCTGTGTAACGTGGCAGGTATCCGCGTTAAATTAATAACACACCAGGCGAGGACATAAGTATACGAACAGGTATTCCCTTCGTGAAATATGCATATCTCCCTTCATAGCACATATTCACATGGATATGCATACATAGCTATATGTCGCATGGTGCACATGTGGTATATATGTTGAACTATAGTACGCCATTTCCGGACGTCATTCCGAAAAAGTAACGCAGTAATGCTTGGTCTTAGGTAGTGCTGGTGTGTGACGCAGGAAGAGATGAACCCATGAACTGATGGCGAGGCATTGCAAATGCTACGGCCTTTCGGCTAGGGTAATGCACTTGGGTGAGTGATGTGTGTCTTCAGCTGTTGATGCACATTATGTAGTACCAGTTAGCTTGAAAGCTTTCAGCGTTATATGGGTACTTACATCGCCTTTCAGTCTATCAGAAGTACAAGGTTAGCATAAGATAATTGGTTTTACCGTCTTTCAGACTAATAAACCTACCCATTCCAAATATCTGTGTTATTTGACAACTTGCACGCATCGACACAAGCATTTGGAAAAATACAACTGAACACAATTATTGCCTCTTCCCAGATTTGCGTCCATCCGCCGTGTTCTTTGAAAAAGGCCCGCCGCTCAGGAGATTACATTTTCACTGACAAGTGGCCATACATTGGTGCTCCCCCCCCCCCCCCCCCCTCCTCCGACAGCAGCGTCAGCCCTCACTCGCACGGTCCCGCAGCACGCCGTATTCGTCACGGGTCGCCCATCGCCTTGGATCATCGATGTTCAGCCCAGAAATTTCGTCCTCATCCTTAGACAGCGTTTTTACCAGCCTAGCTAGTCTGCAGACGTTGACGTAGCATTCGGACGGCGTTGTGCCCGCCCAACTGGCCGTAGCGTGTTCAGTCCAGGCAGTGGCTTCACCGGCGGCCCCGGCAGCCGACATCTCGGCCTCCGCAGCGGCTTCACCAGCGGCTCCGGCAGCCGACATCTCGGCCTCCGCAGCGGCTTCACCGACGGCCCCGACAGCCGACATCTCGGCCTCCGCAGCGGCTTCACCGGCGGCCCCGGCAGCCGACATCTCGGCCTCCGCAGCGGCTTCACCGGCGGCCCCGGCAGCCGACATCTCGGCCTCCACACCGTCCCACGCTCGGCCCGTGTCATTACCGGCGGTTATTTCTCGGCCGGTAAACAGCCGCTCCCAGCCCCTCGGGCAACGGCGCCCGGGCTCTGCGGCGCTCCGTTCTGATCCCGCGCGACCACATCGTACCATGAAAAAACGCGAGACCGCGCCCGGCGCCGCACCCAACAAACTGGGTTGGGGGGGGGGGGGGGGGGGGGGGGCGGGCAGCAGAGCTGGCTATGACGTCAGCCGGCCGGTGATGACAGACAACTGGGGTCGCCTTGGGGCAAGACCGCGCTAGCTGACGAAGGCTGGGCCTGATCGATGGGCTAATTTGAATTGATATAAGACGAAGCGCCCTTCCCCTGAATATTTCGACGAGCTGAAGGTCACTCGAGTTTGGGGGCTTCCGTCCAGCCATGCTCTGGGGCGTGTTCGTGTTGCTTGTCATGAGCGTGGGAGCGCGCTGGAAGCGAGGATCAATATTGGAGATGTGTCAGAAGTGAACGTGATTTGCTGAGTAGTTTCTAACCATAACCAGAATATGCATGAAAGGGAAAGAATGTTCTGAATCGTGACTCTTCCGTGAACAAGCTTGTTTGGCCCG